TATGATCGGTTTTATTGATTTTAACTGTTTTCTCACCAGTTGGTCATCTCATTAATATCTTTATTCAAAATCAACAGGAAAAAAGCCGGAACTGTTGTTGCAATTTGTTGTAATTTAGCCTGTCTTCTTTCTGCTCTTCTGGCTCCTTTTATGCCCAGTACGGCCAAACAATTGAGATCTCAACTAGGTTTGAGTAATAAAAGTTATGGCTATATTCCCGAAACGATAACAAACATGTTACCCACTTGGCACAAAATCGGCAAGCCCAGTCCGCTGTTCACTAAAATTGAAGATCAAAAGGTAGAAATGTTACGCAAAAAATATGCTGGACAGCAAGAGACTAATGGCGATGGAATGAACAAAAGTTCTGACGAAAGTATCGTATTATTAGAAGCCGCTATTACAAAGCAAGTTAGTAGATTTTTTGTTTTATAATATAAAGAATCTCATTTCTTTGCTAGAAAATATTTTATGTATTTTCTAGGGCAACTTAGTAAGAGAACTGAAAGCTAAAAACGATAAGAGCGTTTGGCAACCGCAAGTAGAAATTTTATTAGACCTAAAAAAGAAATTAACTGATCTCAAAAGTAATACGAATGTGCCTGCGAAAAAATCACCCGCGAAAAATAAAAAGACTGAACCGACGCACGTACTAGAACAAAATGGAGATGCCCTAACAAACGTGACAGCATTAGAATCAGCTATCGCGAAGCAGGTATTATAAAATGATACATTTTTTTCTTGACAATTTAGTACATTACATCATGATTTCAGGGTAATCTTGTACGAGAATTGAAGGCCAAGGAAGATGGAAGTGTATGGAAGCCACAAGTGGAAATATTATTGAAATTGAAACAGCGTTTGTCAGATCTCACCGGAACAGCACCAGTCGCTGTTGACAAGAAATCTAAGAAGAAGAAATAATTAAATTTCCTTTATGATAGGGTGATATTTTTTTATGTGTTACATTATTTATATAGGTATTTCTTTGGCACATGCACATGAATATGTGCAAAGCACGACGTAATAGTATTTGATTAACGATAAAAAAAACACACGCTTTATTTAATATAATTTATTTTACTTACTTGCGCGTTGTGTATTAGAACTTAGAAGAAAGGGAGGGGGAGGGGGTGAAAAAACATTTGTACTTTATTTAAATGCGTCCATTCACACTATGTATGTATAATGATAATTTGGTAAATAATTTACATAAAATTTAAGGCTATTATTACAAATTTTACCTATTTTGATCCTTTATTGATACCGCTTCGACATTAGCACCTGTTGGAAAATATTACTTGCTTCTGGGAGCACTAGAATGATATTATTTTTAGGTGGAACTTTATCTTTTAGTAATATCTTACTTTTCTTATCAATTTTAATATCTGGTTTAATATCTTTTTCCATATTTGTTTTAATATCTTTTTTTATATTTAGTTTAATATCTTTTTCCATATTTGTTTTAATATCTTTTTTTATATTTAGTTTAATATTTTTTTTCATATTTGGTTTAATACTTTGTTTTATATTTGGTTTAATGCCTAGTTTAATGTCTGATTTAATGCTTGGTTTAATGATTAGTTTAGTGCTTGGTTTAATGTTTGATGTAATATCTGATGTTCGTTTCGAATTCATTGTGTAGAAGACAAAATACTCAATACCAAATACGATAAGTGAAATTATCATACCAAAGAGTAGAAGAAATAAAATCGGTGCTGCTTCATAAATGGTCACACTGGAGACGAAAATCTCGTCGCTTGGACAATAAGGCTTTCTGGCCGACCGGCGACGTATTTCTCGTCGCCGTAATCCTGAAGTGTTTATCTTCAGTAAGCTATATTAAATAATCTTAGTTCAATTTTTTTATGAAAGTTATATTTTAACGCATTGTGATAATGTACTCACGCTATTTTAGAGATTTCGTGAAAGTGACTTTTAAGATTAGACCACAGGCCCAACTCAGACTTCAACAGGTGAACCTCTGTTAGCTGACATATCATTTGTTTGTCAAATGCAAGTTCGATAGATGGATAAATATCATCTGGGTCCGCGTGATAAGCAAAACCTCCCCTTTTTATTCCCTCCACGCCTTCCTCGATCGAAATAAATCTTTTTGATTCTGGTATAGCATTCCAAAAGGGCCTAAAGTATTGCACGTCCGGTCTTGGATTCTAGTAAAATGTAAAAACTTGTCAGAACGACTAAGCTTAAAAATATCGAATTATTATTTTGGAATGCGCTTTTACCCGCAATAAAAAATTGAAGAAGACGTTTTTCTCAGCCGCCATGTGCATCTTACTATGCGCCAATGAATACAATGAATCATTCATTTTTTGAAGAGGCTCATTCAATCTGGCTGACACTATCGCCGCTCCATAATAGTTATAAACCAACAGACCGAAGACCGTGATCTGAATTAAAGCGATTCGACTGGCCGATTGGTTAGAGAGAGAAGGGAAACCTGATCGATATTATGATAACAGAATATATCTTCGCTGTCGTATTATGATTATTAAATACCTTGCTGGCATAATGCGGCGACAGTGATCAGTGTCGAAATGCTGCAGCCGTAATCATCAGCACGTTCTAACTTCAATATGCAGGATAGGATGAAAATTGTAATCACCACGATCAATATGATTGAATACCACGTATCCGCCGCGAACGGTTTTAGTATTATCCAGGGTTTCATCTTCGTCGCCGGTATGGTACGAAACATGAAACAGGTACTGAATAAAAAATTATTTGCGTGTTGAGCAAGAGGTCTTATGTTGCTATGTTTGTTGTATTTTATTTATACATAATATACAACATTCCCAAATAACATGGAGTTCAAAATCGGAACATACGACATCTTTTAGACAATTTTTGCAAGAACATTTTTAAGAGTACGTCTTTTAGACGTCGTATAACACAATATATTCCGAATTTGGACTTTTGTTTTGTGGATTTTTTTATTGCTTACCGCGTGGGCCATTGTGGAAAAATAACGCGCGCATAACCGTATCTCTCGATCGTCAGGATGGACGGATAGTATCCCAGATCTGCATCGTCTCTCTTCAAAGTGCCCATCAAGGGACCATTACTATCATTCTTCTCCCAGTGATCGATCTCGATGAGTTCCATGCTACACGCGAAAACATTCATTAAACGATCAATATACAGTACACACATGTAAAAATATTTAAATATATCATAGTCAATTACGTAAAGTTAAACATATTGGCGACGTGCGAGAGAAGAGTGTGTCCAAATTTTGGCCAATTGTCCATGACCTCGAGACTGTCGCCTTCCAGATAATCTATCAAACTCACATGCTCTGGTCTGTGCAGCACCTACGAAAAATGGTATCAAATTATTACATCTTCTATGTAGTAATTAAAATATATGTTTTCTAAGCTGAAGCTTACGATTCCGGCCGCCTTGGCTCGCAATCCATGGTAATCTCGACGTCTATTGACTCTCGAGTCGGTCAAATTAATCATGAGTCCTTCGTTCTCTTTCCAATTACCGAGCCATGTAACGTTAAGCACTCCGTCGCGCATTTTACAGTGATTATATACATCATAGAGAACGTAATTGGTATCGTTCGGTAGCAAGATTGCAAAATCCGTGACGATGCTGAAGCCACTATCGTTTAAACTCTGCAAACTATCGTTCAAGTTGTTCCCGAAGATCAGCCAGGCATATGAATAATCATACATACGATGAGCTGTACCCTATATATACAGGTATTATTTTTTTATTTGAATTTTAGAGTGAAAAATTCTGTTTTGTTTGCAGAATTTCGAAATTCTCACTTCGTCAAATATACCGCTGACGTTTTGATTCGGACATCGTATATCCACAAATACGCCCATAGTTCGATCGGTGTCGAGGTATCTAGGTATATCGATTTGTGATCCAGCTGGTTTAATCGCTGTGGACATCCCGACGTCGGTCAGCAATTTCATCGTGAGAAAATCCTCTGTGCGAAGAAAAATAATAAATTCTAACAAATTGTATATTGTTACAAAATAAATATATTTCATTCTCTCTGCGAATTAAAAATTATTAAGAACTCTTACACGCAAAATACGATGCTTGACTTACCATTCACACCACCACAGGAGAATCCCACTACTCTAGTTACATTTTTGTAGACAAAATAATCTCGAATTATTTGACTAGTTTGCGCATAAACAACAATGATGAACGTTTGTAAAAGAAAAATGCGATACATCAGACACATTCTTTCATACACGAGTTATAAGGTTGCGACGACGTTATAACTACTCCGTTTCGTCTTCATTCCATATGAAAAACCAAGATAATTTCGTATCCACGGTAGTAGCAAAATTCGAGACAATGGAAACGATTTCCAGAGTTCAGACTCATTCATAATATCCATAACGTCAATTGACTTGACAGCATAATCACATCGGTTACAGTGATACGAACCATATACAGGGTACCTCATCACTTTCGTCATTCATCTCACCTAAAATACTTGTACCAATTTGAGATTGAGTCTTCTTCAATAAAAAAATCTATTTAATTAATAGCCCTTGAGACAGAATTCCGCAGGTGAATATCACGTCTGGATGATGCATGTAGCATTGTTATAAAAATTTTAGAATGGCTCCGAGACACCCCATATACGGCGTGACTTCCTCTTTAGCTTCAAAGTTCTCTACTTTCTGTCCCTATTCTTTATCAATTATTTCGAAGCCGAATCTGTTACGATCGATTTGCTTGTCTCTCTATCTATTATCCGGTTATTTTCTTACAAAAGTATTCATAGGAAAATTTCTCTGAAGAGACTGTTCTGCGATGCACAGTAAATTCACAGTTTTATTAGATATTAGATCAATATTAGAACGACTGGGAAAAATTACATTTGTAAAGCATACTGTCTCCTCGCATAAAATAAATATACGATAATGAGATACTAACGAATGTACCAATTATAACACACGAAGAACTTATGAATATTTTACTTCTCAAAGTGTGATAATTCACTCGGATAAATTATGTTTGCTCGTGCTGGCTGTCGCTTCCGTGTCATCGTTGCTCAAAGGTCTCAACATTTCTTCTCTACAAGCAAAATTAAATAACTCCGACATGCTAAGACGTAAATGAGCGTCAGCTCACCTGATCGTGAATCGATAGTAGATGATATTCTCGATGAGGCATATCATGCTTCCAACAAGTACGCCGAAAATTAACAGAATCAAAGCTGGAGCGGTCTCGTATATGGATATGCTTCTCGTGGACAATGTATCAAGCGTACATTGAGGTTTCCTGCTCGACCAATACTTTATCTGTCGATCACGTAACCCAGTATTGAACATCTTGGATAATCTGAAGAAGAATTTCTTAATTGTTTTTTCAACTACTAGAATCTTCGTTGTATATGCTTAGTAAAGAAAAATTATAAACAAATTAACTTACGCAATTTTCGCCATCTCGGTGAATTGACCATTACGACTGGCGTACATACCCATGACGGATTGCTTAAACAGATGGATCTCCGTCAATGCGCAGATCTTGCTCGGATCGAACATTTTTTCGATGTATGGATACGCCGTGTTCGGATCCGTATGATAGGCCAGGATACCTTCGCTGACCTGCTTCATACCCTCCTCTAACGGCAAGTATCGCTTTGACTCCGGCAGAGGATCCCAGCGTTTCTTTCTGAAGTAATTTGATTCAGAGCTAAGTTTCTGAAAATACAAAATTCAAATAGTATATGGTCTTTCTGGAAACTGCGTACATATTTCAACGTATCTAGAAACGTACGTATAGAAAGTAATTCAAATATGGCACAGCCTCCGCCGCGATTTTCAGATTGCTATCCGCGAGAACCGTCACATCATCCTCCATCATGTCGAGCGGTTCGCTCAAACGAGCTGACACTATGCTGCCCGAGTAATAATTGTACATGATCCAATTGAACACGAGGATCTGCAGAAGAGCAATACGGCCCGGGATATATTCGGGAAAAAAATTTGCACCTACGGAAGATATTCTCGTTAAATTCTTAACGATACATTTGCTATTTACTTATTTTATACCTTGCTGAGCAGTAATGCCGATAGTAACGATTATGGCACCGGAGTATTTTTCTTCTCTGCTCGCCTCCTCGCGTTTCATTATTAGTCTCATTATGAACATAAAGAATACGACGAATACGGCGCTCAAGTACCAAGTCTGAACCGCAAACGGTTTAAAGAAAATTTCTAGCTTGATTTTATTCGACGGAGTGGACAGTAACATGAAGCATGGTCTGTAGAAAAGAGATTAATTATTTGTTAAATGATGCCAGATTGATGTTTTCATGACGTAAAGCGAAATTTTTATACCGAATCGGCCACGCCGCGCCGATTAAGGTAGCATAATCTAATCTCTCGGATACCATAATCCTGGGGTTACTGCCGAAGTCGATATAATTCGTTTGTAGAATCTCGAATATCAAACCATGCACGCTGTGACGATCCCAATAAATTATCTCCGAAGCGTGTACACTTGAAAAGATATTTTTAATTACTCTTATAAAAATCTAATATCGGCCTATTTATTTATTACTAAAAAATGGTATAATTCATTATTATTTATTTAAAGTACTAAAAGTACTAGACAACAGTGCTATTAATACTCATACTTAAAATAAGTAATTGATTATTTTTAGTATTAAATTAGTCAGTTAGGTTTTTGTAAGAATATTAACCATTGGAAAATACAAATTTTACCCTAAAAACTGAAAAATACCTAAAATTGAAGAGATCAGCAGTGTGAGATATCATAGCGTACACAAACTTATGCATGCTGTCTAAAGATCTGGTATTAATATCGATCATATAATCCTCCAATCGCATGTTCTTCGGCCTGTATTGTATCTAATGATAAAGCATATGATAAAATATTATAAAATAAATTAAATATTTCTTCTTTTTTTCTGTAAAACTATATATTCAATAACACGCACCACGCCCGATATTTTCAGCGTCATGCCATGCATATTCGCTCTTCTTTCAACCAGAGGTTGAGTCAAAGTGATAGTAAGACCTTCTCCTCGTCGCCACCAGCCCAGCCGCGTCAAATTCAATGTACCTCCGCGATATTTGCAATGATTATAAACGTCGTAAAGATCGTAACCACTGCCATTCATTATCGCGAGCGTGAAATCGGTCGTCATACTGTAAGCACTATCGTTCAAAAGCGGCACGCTGCTATTCAGATTCGATCCTAGGACCAGCCAATGATATGAGTAGTCATACATACGATACTTCGAGGTCTAAAAATATGAAATATTATATATCCTTTCTTTCTTTCTTGCTTTTTATATAAAAAGATTGAAAATATCATATAAATGTGAACGAGGGTTTACGCTATAAATCTTTTTACCTCAGCAAAGATGGTCACGGCGCTTTCGTTGCGACAACGCAAATCCAAGACAACTCCCAAGCTCCAGGCATCAGTGCTCAAGAATCGTCGTATGTTGATATCTTTATCGTGTTTCCGAATGATTGTGAATATACCGGCTCTGCTTAATGACTTCATAAAATAAAAATCACCTGCGATAAAAAAAAAAGTGACATAAAAAATCACTTTGTACTTTTATTGAATAATTGGCTAATATTTAAAAAATTTTACCTACTCGTGAAATCTCCGCAGGAGAATCCCACAACATTTCGCACTGCCTTACTTATAAAATAGTCACGAATAAAGTCACTATCTCCCGCGTTAACGTTACAAATAAATCGCAGTAAAACAAAAAATATCACGTATACTCCACCATGCTTTAATTTCGGATTATTCATATTGTTGTGCAAAAAGTAAAAGTTCTACTGAGTTTATGTAATGTCGAGTTTACATACATGAATACGAATAAACGAAAGAGCTAACGAAAATAGAATGTAATTCGATTAGATTTGCACGGATGGGTTGTAACACACGTTTTGAATTTTTTAGCATCTATGTAACATTAAACATGATATCTTGAAATCGTACGTCTTATCATTTATTTACATTTTAATGCTGACATTCTGTCGGGGAATGAAAACTAGAAAATGTGTCATTATCGAACTACAGCAAATCACATACGATAGTGATTAATTATTTGCGAGTACGTCTAATAAATAAACATACAAGTTATCTGTGGTAAAATCTCATTGAACAAGCATTATAATGAAATGGTATATAGAGAAATAATATATTATTTGATCATTCACGCGAGAATATTTCGCCCGGCGAAACAGATGTGTTTCTCGTGAATTTCGAAAAACACAGTTTCCTGCGCTGTCCGTTGACAGTGATCATTGATAATCTAAAAAAGAAAGAGTCCAAATGATAGAATGGAAAATTTAAAATATACTTCAATATGTTATTTTTTTTTAACTAATTAGTTTTTTTTAACACTGATCGTTACCGAGGCCATAACCAGTAGACAAGATTCTCTATTATGCAGATCACAAGAGACAGCACGGCGGCAATGCCAACAAACATAAAAACGGGTATAGCTTCATAAATCGACAGCGGTTCCGCAATTAGCATATTTTTCGGACAAAACGGTTTTCTCGCCGACCAGAATTTCAGTTGACGTCTGCGTATGCCCACGTCATACATCTTGATCAAACTAAAATAATAAAACATATATTATGAATAATAATTGCTTGAAGAATTAAAATTTAAAAAATGAGGCATGTATGTAGGCATTTATTGTATACTTATAATCATTTGCATATTCTCCTACCCAATTCTAAATAGTGGAGTAAACGGACTCCTGTGTCTGCCCCAAAGAGCTAGTATCGCGCGGAAGAGATGGACCTCCGTTAACTCACATATCATCCGCGGATGGAAATGCCGCTCAATATATGGATACGCGAACTCAATTGACGTGTGATAAGCCAAGCCACCTTTAGCTACGCGATTTAGACCCTCTGCTAGTGGCAGATAACGTTTGGATTCCGGTAGTTTGTCCCACCGTTTCGCATTAAAATACCGTATCTCCTTTTCCGGTGTCTTTTAGCAAAAGGATCATAAAATGAGAAATACGCCATTGTAATAAAAAAAGGAATTTTATATTTTTAAAATTTCAGAACACCAACTAACAATACTATATAACATCAACGTTACGTATAACACGTTATGTTTCATTTGTATTGAGAATAAAATTATAGAATATTGATGTTAGTGTTTACTGAAATAAGATTTTTATTATAATTATTGTAACTCCTTCTCTCCTTATAAAATTAATCTCACTATTTGGATTATGTTAATTGGACTTTAATATTTAAAAGCATCTACCTGCAAAAAAGAACGAACATATGGCGTTGGTTCGGCTGCCACTTTCAGTTGACTATCCGCCAAGCTGATCAACGAGTCGTTCATCTTCACGCCCATATTCTTTAATCGGTCGGACACGATACTCGCCGAATAATAGTTCAGGATTAACACGCCGAAGAGCATGATGTGTATGAATGCTATGCGACTCGCGTAATGCACCGGAACGAATACGGAACCTGTAAAAGTGCTTAATTTACCGACAGTTCTTCATTTTCTATGCATTATTTTACTCAAGATTTGACAGAAAATTAACAAAGATATTAAACAGACTGGCAAGTACCTTGCTGAGAAATAGCGCCTATTGTGAGAAAAATACAAATGTTGTAGCCCTCCAACACACTGTGAATACCTTCTTGTCTAATCAATATTACCAGAATGGACGAGGAGACTATTATCGTGCCAAGTACAACGTACCAGACCTTGATGTTTAACGGCCGCAAAAATTGCTTTGTCTTCATGTTCGCCGAGGATATCGTCCGGAATAAAAAGCACGATCTGCGTAGAAATAACTTATTTGAGCAACACAAAGTGAAACAATTCGTTATTGTGACCACGAAATTACATACCGCATCGGCCATACTGGACCGATAATATCTCCCGACCGTAATCTTTCCGCTTTCATCACGATTGGACTGGCCGAGATATCTACCGTCTTTTTTTGAAAAGCGACAAACATCGGCGCAGAATTGTCCTGCCGCTTTCTTGGATCTACTTCCACGATTTCTATACTTTAAAATAATTTAAAATATATTTTTAAAAAATTAAAAAATAATTAAAAAATATTTTCATATAAAAAAGAAATACGCAAAATAAATGCAGAAGTATAATCGAAAAAATTTTCGCCCTTTCCAAAAGATTTCTTACGTGAAGTTAAAGAGATCAGCCATTTGCAGCAAGATCGTGTACAAGAATTGAGATCGGCCATATTTTGCCTTCATGTCTTGATCCAGCGCGATATCTTCCGTAGACAAATTGTAAAATTTACGCGGCAGCTGCGATTTTATGAATTATATTGCCAATTGTCGTGCTCATTATAAGCTAATCAGTTACTTACCAAAACTCCCACTCTGAGTTTCATACCATGTAAGTTAAATCTTCTCTCGTATTTTGGTTGCTTCAGTCTGATCGCCACACCAGATTTCTCGGTCCAGTAACCCAAGATGGTTACATTCAAGGACCCACCGCGTGCTTTGCAAGGATTATATACGTCGTATAAATCAAAACCGGTGTTGGTCTCTATGGCAATCGTAATATCGGTCACTACGCCGAAAGAATCATCATTTAATAAGCTCACGGTGTCCTCCAATTTTCGTCCCAAAATCAGCCATTTATGCGTCTCGTCGAATAAAAAAGATTTCGTAGCCTTAAATAAAAAAGAGATTAATACCAAGAACTTTGCCATTATGCTGCTTCAACATCTATAGCTTTGTTATCTTTCTTGACTCTTATCTGTTCCTCTCTTCCTCTGGTTGCATTTTCACATACATTACTCCATTATTCTTAAATTAAATTCTGCATTTTTAATTCCAAATACTTTACGTAATTAATACAATATAATAATTCAGAATTTGTTTGTGAAAATTCCTCTCTGGAGGACTACATTTTTACGTTGTTCTTACATATTATATCGCACATTCTTAATTCCAGATATATTTTATCGTTAATATATGAATTTTTTGGAAAATTATTTTTTACCTCATAATATATTACGGTATAATTGTGACCTTCACATCGCGCGTCCACGTAAACGCCTAAATTACGATAGTTGTTCTGTAAAAGCTTCCTAAGCATACGTATCGATGACCCATTCACGGAACCGAGATTGCACATCGATGTGAGTACAAAGACTTCGTTGAATGTCCTCGCGAATTTCACGTCACCTGTCATGAGTCGAAAAAAACTTGTAATATAATAATTATATATACGAATTATATTCATTTAATATCGTTTAAAAAAATATTGTTACGCACTTTCGAGACCACCACAAGAAAACCCTACGACGTTGGACACGCCTTTATATAAAAAGTAGTCTCGGGCCATAATATTGTCGTTTGCGTAAGAAACAAGTAATAGACGCGACAGAAACAGTAACTTCCAACTTCCATAATGCATTTTGTAAATTATACGGATTACGCCGAGATTACCAGGAGTACCAAGAGTTTGAAGGAGAATGAAGTAGTTATTCTTGTGACCGCCGTCAATTACTCAAAGCGCAAGTCTCTTATGAATATTTTATTTCATGCATTTTTACGATATGAAATATTAATTCCTTCGGCCGACTTACATATTTATCTACTATCCTGGAACTTCTAGTTATTATTCCATTATTATTCTATAATATGCTGTACTTCCTTCTTCATATTTCTCTTTTACGCTATTCAGCGATAATTGTTTTATGAGATTTTCATATTTCTGAGAAAAATTGAGAATATAAAGGAAAGAATTCAGGAATTTTATTGAAAAGATCATAGGAAATTTAACGAGATGGAAAATGTGGCGATATTATTATGAAAGGAATATTCATTTAAAATCATAGTTTCAATTAATGTAATTTGTACTCTTTCTAATGTAGCGTTATGTGTATTAAAGATACATTCTGATACGATGTACGTTCGATGTACGCATTCAGAATCGAAGCGCTTTATAAATAAGGTAACTTATCAATGACTAGTACAGATTATTGCGCTATTGCCGCTCGAGCCATAACCGTGAGTTCGCAAATTCTCAAATCTAAAAAAGAAAATCCGTCAAGATCGATATTCAAAACGTTTATTGTAGTGCAAAGGGAGGAGAGTCGTTGGTCGATAGATAAAATTTGCCACGTAACCTGAACGAGAAAAAGACAAATTGTGATGAATTATAATCAGTTTTCGCGAATTTAAAAAAATATAAACAAGGATATCTTACGAGGTGGAGGCATATTCGCCCATCATAACGACCGGATTGTAATCACAGAGTCGCTCCTTGTATTTTTCCCAGCTCTCGCACATTTTCGCCTTAAAACCTACCGTGCTGCCGATACTCTCGGTCATAAGCTGATGCGCTCTGGAATGGCTGCAATAAGCTGCAACAAAAAAAAAGTAGGTATTAAGATACCGCTCAAGTCATCTTTTCAATATTCTTCGTAGCAAGGATATTATATGATAATAATGAATACCTTGCAATACTCACTTATCGTTGGCACGAAAGAACATCCAGGTTGCGGAATCTTGCCATTATTAGGATAAAAATCAGCGTGTCCCAACGGCGCCAAGAACCCAAACACTGGTCCGCTGGTATGGATCACATCAACGAATTGAGCGTCGGTGGGATCCAGCCGGTATTCTGGATCGACAACGCCCGAGATAGTCTCGAACAGAGGGCTCGCAGGATCCAGTCCTTCTCAGGAAAATCATGGAATTACGCGACGTATAACTAATATTTTCGCTCTCGTAATTCGTCGATATCGACAACACATAAGTATCAAAACTGTATATTGTCCATTTACAGCCATTTCCCAGTACTGTCTTATCAGTAATCCACCCCAAACAAATATTGCGACTCCAATTAGCGCAGTTTCGTTTAATATTTATCTATATTTTTTTTATCTTTTTCTATCATAAAAAGAATCCTTTGAAGAAAAAAGACTACTTATCAATAATTCCTTTAGAAAGTTATGATACTTTTTATTGGCATCGTTAAACTCGAACACATTTGTATTCTTTTACGAGAACTGAGCGTTACATATTCAATGATCTACCTGTTATTCTCCCGATACGCCCGTCGTGATAAGCTCCGGCAAAGCCCGCAACATAAGAGCCCAAGCTATGACCACTGATGTGTACGTCCTTATACTCCAGATTCGAGTCCCGATTCAAAAAATCCAAGAACTGACCTAAATACTCACCAACTAAACGAGTGTTCTTAGCCGCCACCGGGTAGGCGTCGGACGCCAAGATTCCCCAGCCGACGACTATCACGTTCACATCCTGATAAAGCAGATACGCTAAAAATGCAATTAAATGTTATATCTCTATCTTTAAAAAAAAAAAGATTTTTTTTTATTTAGAAACAATGTTTTTTGGAGGATGTGGGATTGTCAGATCAAAAAGTGACGGATATAAGAAAAATTTAGAACTCTTCCGCGAAGAGTTTCTGGCGGAAGAGAGAGAGAGAGAGAGAGAGAAAGCAGAAAAACTTGCAAAATGATTAATTAAGCCGTTATCGCGTTGACCCCTGAACCGACAACGACGTCGATTCCGTGTTTACCGAAATAGGCTGACCCTGATTGTTTGCGAAAATAGTAACTGCGGTAGTAAGGAATGCGAATGCACAATGACGTAATACTTAATTCCACCCACCGTCTATTAGATCACGTATCCAGCCCTCGTTTCCGGTATCGCTGAATCCGTGAACGATGAACTTGGTCGGCCGGCTCTCATTGAAGTGCGACGCGTACAACACTTCGGTATTGTTCAGGAATAACTGCTCCTCGCCAAATGGGTTTTCTCTGTACAAAGCAATATCGTGAGAAAGACATTGCAACAAAATTGATGCATGATAAACATGAAGTCTCATGTCAGTCCGAACAGAGATTCTCATCGGAAATTTTCCGATTTCTTACTCTTCGAGGTAACAAAAAAGGAAAAGTGTTATAACAATGTCAAGAAGCGTCTTCCTCAATCGGCTTGTTTGCCGGAAAGAAATAAAAAGAAAAAAAAAGGAGAGCGGGAGTCAATCCGAAGGCGCGATATTAAGGCGTCAACGTGGCGCGGCGCGGCGCCTCGACACTCGATAGTCGATCGAACGTCAGCGCTGAGAATAGAATGCCCGCTGATTGCACGTATCATTAAAAAATTGACGCATCCTCCACGGGGCAAGCCGGCGATAGCGGTGCCATGGTGCATAGAAATTAGCCGCGTCGGCGTGTGATTGATTCCCGATCGACGTCAAGATAGCCTCCGGGCCAATTATAAAAAATTATTATTTAGAAAATATGCACAAGGGAATTCAGTGTGACAATAATCGGTACTTGTAGTCGATTCTGACATTTAAGTTTAAGATATTGTCTCAAGCGCAATCTTAAGATGTCACGAATCAATCAGAGGTCGTTCTTCATAGTTAATTCTTATATTTAAGAGACTATCTCAAATACAGGCTTAAAATCTCTTTTAAGACCGTCTTATCTTACGACGGTCTTAAAAGCATAAAACTTACGTATTTATGTTATAGCGTTCAGAAAAATGCATTAGCATATATCTTAAAATGTTACTTATGTTACTTAAGACGGTTTCAAAAAGAAGAATGGACTTGTAAATACCAGCCTATGATATAATTTTAGTTTCAAGCTTGATTGACGCGTGCCTGAGGATAAAGCATATGGGTTTCGATCCTCTCTACAACCCTGAAAACGATTCTCTTTTGTTTCCTCTTTCAATTGACTGAATTTTTCATATATGCATATACAGCTGTTATAATTGGTGTATCGCACTGACAATGAGATGCAAGAACAACATTATATTCCACTTTCATCATATCTCATTGCAAATCATTGTTGCGACAATTAAAAAGGATCATACGCACCTGGTGTACAATTTGAAGGTCGCTGGTTCGCGTTCCAGCACCGTCTCGACGATCGACGCTCGCGCGTTGTCGTTGATCAGCAGTGTGCCTTCCGGATACGCGTACGCTGGAAATAACAACTGAGGAATTAATCTGTTGGGATTAATCGGTCCGCGCGTCACGAATAAAATTCAAGTAAATAGAGAGGGAAGGAGGGAGCGATTTGCGTGTATCGGTGCGAGATTCGAACCGGTACGTCTGATTACCTGACCAGGCGAGTAGGAAGGTTGAAAGGACGAGAAGCTGGACCTGTGACATGTCTCGGGACAGGGTGCTGCGCAACATACCAGTCTCTACGAGATGCACCGGATTACTACTTTAACTTGGTCGGCTTAACGTCGAGCCCGTCATTCATCCCGCGCGCTTTCTTTTTGCTCCTCCACCAGCTCTCGGGAGTACGATAAGAGCGCCTAATGCCGTACAGCTTTAATTCATTGACACGCCACAGCGGATTTTTGACAATCGCCTCCTCGCCATAGCCACGAATAATTCCATTCCACGCATTTCTATCTGAAAAAAAATAAACTATGAGAAATTCAATGAACTGCAACGAAATCGGAGCAAATAAACGCGTAGAGACAGTCCGACTTTACAAGGAAACCCAATTGACTTTTGAAAAATCTTGCGATAAAAATAAATTGTTTTTCACGAAAGACTTTTAAATGGTACATGTATATATTTGAAATACGCACCTTATTTTTTTAGATTAATTACTTTTAGATAAAAATATGCTGCATATTACGATAAATCCATATATATGCCGTATTACTGTGCGTTGCTTGCTTGTTTATCTGAAGGTTATTAATTAAGGTTATGCATTTTTAGTATCATTAGATTATTTTTCTCCTCACTTTTTCTGGTTAAGGGACTTTCCATATCTTTTAAAAAATCACTCATATAATAAATTTATATAAAAAATATATATATATATACGTGCTCTACGATACCGACTACGATTGAAACAGTTTCGCTGAAACCTTGGGATATGTTTCGACAGATCGTGCTTCACGCAGTTTCTCAAAATGGCGTACGCATACGGGCGTATTTATAAGGACGATCAACGGTGAACTGTCAAAATCAGTCAAAATCAGTCAAAGTCGACATTGCATGGTACTCTTAAATTTATTTGCACGTCTTGGAAAATGGTACGTATATGATTTCAACCTTTGGATTATTCCTGTTCCATTTATTAATTATTAAATGAATTGTTACGTTGGATCCGTTGGATTATTTTTATTCGATTTATTGATGAATTGTTTTAATTTATTTATTATTATTAAGAAAGTCATCAACACCGATCAACACGTTCGTTAACTCGTAAAACTTTCTACGTCTTATCATGGGCGCCAACTCTTGCAGAATATGTGGAATATTCCACATATCAGAATTTTTCATATGTGTAATTCCACAAATGAATATCTCTCAAAGACGTTGTTACAATTTTTTGTAAAGATAATGTCGTGAGAGTTTGATTTTAACATACACAAAATTATTAATTCAAATACTTTTAACAATACCAGTGATGATGTGTTCCGCACAACATTCTTCTGCCTTGAGAAGGTTGAAAAAATTTGCATCTTACGATATAGCAAGTTCGGTTGAATTCTGCAATTATATTGCTTATGCATTCTAGTATTGTTGAGATTTTGGATAATGATGCACTTACATGAGTTGTGAATAAATTCTTTATAAAGAATAATATTTGAAGTTCAACGTTTGTTCTAAGTGTTTCAATAAGTTAAACAAAAGTGTACTTATAAAACTTTATTATTACATGAATTTTGTTGTTCATTACCCTGTTATAGTCTTGATATGAAAATAAAGAAGTCTACATAGTGAAAATTTAGTTGTTTTCTCTTCCCATCACATTAATTATCCAACTCCACATATATGGTCAAATCAACAAATTGGTACCCCTGTGTTTTATCATTTTGAAATTTATTCAAGTCATGTTGTTAGAATTATTTATTCATTTATTGTTTAATTTTTACAACTGTTTCATAAGTTAATTATGTGATAACAATAAATTATATTTGTCTTTATTATATATAAAATTATTAGATACTATTATATTGATGTCAATTCACATGTTATATTGAAAATAACATGTTATATGCAAAAATCAAATTACATATATGATAACAAACGTTAACGTACTATTAAATAATACTTATGTTCAATATGTTAATATTTGTTTTAATATTTATGTTAATATTTATTTCAATTTTTGTTAAGACTTAACTGAATCTATTGATGCATCATGGCACCTGAGCCCACGCAAGAACCTATTAAAGATAATCTGACAGTTTCCAATACAGTCCTGGATACGAGAGTGGCGAATGATGAGGAAGACAGTGACGATGAAGAAATGATTTTAGCGGGATATTTGCCATTATCTCAAGTGGCTACTGATGCTGAACCCATATTAGGTGAAGAAGAGGTATACATCAGCAATATCTTCTTTCTCTAATGGGAAAAACTAGAATAACTAAAAACATTCCTTTTTTATTCTAGAATGATGAATGGCTGTCTGAATTTGGCGAACCTAATCAAGCGTCATCTAATCAAGCGTCATGTAATCAAGCGTCATGTAATCAAACGTCAGCTAATCAAGCATCATCTAATCAAGCGTCATCTAATCAAGCATCGTCTAAGCAAGCATCATCTGCTACAGTAACCAAAACCCAGCAAGTAAGCCATCTTTAAATTAAGAATATTATTATGAAAATGCTTGGATTAGAATGATTTTATTTCATTAATTATATTATTTATGTACAGTTAGATAGTATCTAAAATAAAGAGATTTTTTGCAAGAGCAAATAAAAAATCAATTGCAGTAATAGATATAAAGATATAATAGTTTCAGCATATTTGATTTAGATTGATATCTATGTTCTGCATTAAAAACACGATAATAATACTAGAGTTGCTCCGAAAGTTACTGCAAAATCGTGCGGAAATATTCTCGTGATAAATTCATTTTCTTTCAAAAATGTCAACTTTGAATATGTCTCATGGTGAACAAATGAATGAATATTTGTGTATTGTATTAAAGACAAAAGTGTCACTAAAAGGCGAAATAAAGTTAACATTAACAGTTTGTGACACGACGCCTAATACTATCTTGCGGAAATTTTTAGCGCAACTTATGTATGTGATAATAATATATCATAATACACACATAATGAATTTGCAATTTAAAAAAATACTGCAATATTTCAGAGTTGTTCTGCAGAGGTACTGGAAGTTTGGTCGTGCCCGCACAATCGTTCTGATATTGATCTAGATGCAAATAAAATCAAAGAAGTAAAATCCGTAATGGCGTCCATTACCATTCCCGAAAGTTGCATTCCGCAATGGGCAAATGCAATCTCAGAAGAGCAATGGAAGGAGCAACTTCTCATACGTATCAAACAAATGCAGAATAAAGATTCGCAGAGCTGAAATTGCAACAGTTGAGCTGGTTGTAATAAAAAAATTAAAATCTTTACTGTCAGCTGTACACAACAAGCGGTACATCTGGAATTATTTAAAGTATAATTTATTATAACGCGTGAAAACGCAAAAATATGTATGATTGAGATGCCTATTGAGCATTTTTGTAAGTCATATGTATTTTAGCATTTAAGTAAAAAAATATATTTGATTTTTATGTCAGTTAAGCTAAAAACTGTTTTGAAAACAGAATTTTAACATCTCGTTAATACATAGGATGTATAATTTTGTGGCATGAGAGAGGAATACAAATTAAAACGATTATTCGAACGAATTGCAAAGTATTTTTTTATTATTTTCGTTTTCTTTTTATATGGTATGTTGAAAGCAGATTATAGAGATATATAATAGATTAGTTTAATTAATAAACGTCGTTTTTCTCAATGAGATTGCGCTAAAAATGAGTAAACGCATGATACCTCATCTTGATGCTATTCTAGTGAAATCTCTGAATGTATTCTGAATCGCAAACATTCAATTGCGCGCTCAAATCTTTCCCATTAGCATACTATACTTCATTGCATACATCAAATAATCTATGTAATTGGAAAAAGGCATGAATGCGATTTTATAATTCATACTCCGCGTCAATGGCAGCGGCTTTGACTGGATTGAGTTTCTTCCGCAAGGCAGCAACATCATCTTCTATTTTTATCAATTTCCGATATTTCTGAAAAGAAATAAGTTATCACATTATTTTTTTTATATTACATAATAATTCTTGAATTACATTACGTATGTAATTCCTTTCTATAATATTATATACCTCTGAGGTAGTTCCGGATGTAACGCACCAGATATAAATCATATAACCTGGAATGCATAACATCGAGGAAAGACCCGCAAGCCATCCCAACAAATGGCTCCACCACGGAAATTCATACGTGAGGTATTTCACAGGGACGAATTTAATGATATTAAAGATGAAGACACCCTATACATAAGAGAGAAATACAAAACATAATAGAGTTCTAACAATAAGTATAATCTGAGCAAATTGGACAAAGTTTTACCACGCAAATAGCAGGTGTGGTAAATGTCCAGCATATCTTCCACCAGAAACAAGGATAGTAGCCTATCATGTCTCGTATACCATCATAAAATCGGTCTACTCCAAATGCCCATGAGACGGAGATGCACTCGAAGAACATCAGGAAGAGTAAGCAAAATCCGCTTACAGCATACGTGTCCAAGAGTTGAAACACGTACATTCCACCCTGGATACAAAATTAAAGTTCTAATTAGTACTAAGAAAAATCTGATTAATCTTCGCTTGTCAAAAAACACAAAATTAAAAGAATAAGACACTTTTACACTCTTATTAAATATTTTTGTAGATATTTAGAAAATTTAATCTACTCACTTCCGTGACGCATAGAAGCCCGATTAAATAAGAGATCAGGCATACGATCGCGATGAACAATTCCTTCCGTTTTCTGAGTGTTCGCGGCCACTCATCCACGGCGGCGGTGATGAAACCCTCCATGGTACAGAACTAGAATGCGACTTATTTTTAACATTAACATTAATCCGTGATAGTTCAATAATAACAAAAATCGATCCTTGGATTCGATGAATGTACATTACCTGACTATCCAATCCTATTAGGAGAAGCATGAAGAAGAATAGACTCGACCAAATTGATGCTCCAGGTAGTTGCAATACCGCTGAAGGATAAACTAAGAAGGCCAAACCGGGTCCTGATCAAAATAATGAATACAACAAAATTATTATTGTGTCATCATTTGAAACAGATTAAAAAGGAAGGATGATTACCAGAAGCAGCTACGTCGGCTACTGGTTTCTGTTGCTCATGGGCCATAAAACCGACCACGGAAAATATAACTACTCCGCTAAGCAGGCTGGTACAAGTATTGACTCCACATACGATGAGAGCATCTCTATAATATATCAAAAAAACTACATATATAATTCGCCATACAAATAATTTTTATTGTACACTCTGGAATGACATTCTCTCAAGTGGTAAAATAAATTTTGCAGTATAATGAAAAAACAAACAAAAGTCATTAGAATTCAAATAAAATAATATAGAATACAAACGTAAAAAGAAAATTTTTTTTAAAATAATAAACTAACGTGAAGATAAAAGATAAAAATAATAAAATTAAATTAAGTAAACAAAGTGTAATAAAAATAATAGAATTAAATAAGAAGAGAAGAAAGACGAATAGAAAAATAATTCACGAAAAATAGAAGATTCTCACTTGTAAACATTATTATTAAATTTGTTGTAACTGCCTAAAGCTACCAACGCGCCTAAGCCGAGAGCGTAAGTGAAGAATATCTGCGTCACTGCGTCTATCCATACCTATTCACATAATGATCATGTCAATAATTATAATATCTATATTCTAGTATAACTAAAGGAAAAATCGACGTTATGTTGTGATTTTACCTCAGGATCGCCGAGTTTCGAAAGATTCGGAGTAGCATAATACTTCAAACCTTCCGAAGCGCCGGGAAGCGTCAAGCCTCGCACAAGCAGCACCGCCAGCAAGGCATACGGGAAAAGTGCCGTGAAATAGACGACCTGCATTACATCGTGTAATTTATACGCTATACGTCCGAAAGTGGCCAATACTTTATCATAGACTCGTTTTACCTTGCCGGTCCATTTAACGCCTTTCCAGATGCAAAAGTAGCACATGATCCATACGACCGCGAGGGTACCGGCTAGTTCCCATCTTATATTACCTACATCTTCGATGCCTGAGGATATCATTAAGGTGCGCCTCCTTTTTGTAACAAAGGATGCAGATACTTTTTCATTGCACTGCAATTGATTAAATAAGGTGTCTACACTGGACCAGTAACTTACTCCCAAAATTCTTTTACTGGATCCTTCAACAACCCGTGACTCAAGTTCCCAAGAGATGTGGCACATATGACATTGTTTGGCCAGTAGTCATCCTGCCAGCATGATACATTCAGACGTTCATCAGGCGTGATGCAGTAGCGCGTATTCCATGAGTTGTCGCAGGTTCTCCATGGTACGTCTGTGTGCAAAATTTATATTATTTATAAATATAACAATTTTTTATTTTCTACAGCTCAAAAGTCAAAAAATAAAATTGTATAAAGTCATTCACCAGCACGTAAAGAGACCAAGAAATAGAAGAGCGCCCAAGCGAGAATAATGATGTAATACACATTGGTCCAGCAAGAAAGCACGCAGGTTGCGTATCCAATGCCTGTATGAAGATCAACATTGTCACACTATTATCCTCCCAAAAGTATCTCAATAAAGAAACTAAGACCGAGAGCTTTCTAAAATCACCTTTGAAAATAGGTGCTATTTTAAAAACACCTAGACCACCTATCGTCAGCATTTGACCTAAGGACAGTTCCATTAGGAACATAGGTATACCGGCCAGTGCGAGCGCGATGAAGTAGGGCACCATAAAAGCACCGCCACCATTTTTATAACAAAGGTATGGAAATCGCCATAGATTTCCCAAACCTATGGCCAGTCCCACGACGGACAAAATAAATTCGATCTTTAAAAGAGAAAAATGCGGAAATTGTATACATATAATAAAGTTAGATTCAAGTCTAAACACATTGACCGCGGTCTCTCACCTTGCTGCTCCAGTTCCCTCGTTCTGGTAGATCCTTGGGCCTCTTGATGATCGAGGACTGTCGCAGGCATTGTATCGCTTCAAATCGAAAGTCCGACTCTTTCTCACCATTGGGACCTCTGTTGCTGGTGGGCTCGGAGAAGAGGGCCTTCAGCTCCTGTACCGGATTCACGGGACTCGCCGCCGGTTTTCTCGGCAGAGGACTAGTGGATCTGTCTACCTTGGGACGGCCGGTCGATCCCCTTGAAGGCATTATTCGTTGCGGCGACGAAATCGCGGGATGAGATCGAAATTGGAGAACTCACCTCATCTTAACAGGCCGACCGCGAATGGAGATCGGCTCGACGCAACTGTGTGTAACTTGTGCCCTTCTCTCTGATTAAAACGCTGGAACGTTTTGTGGATGGCCGTTGAAATGATGGTGAAGTGGAAAGAAACAGGAAGGAACGAAGGGCTGATTAATAATTGTCGTCTATAATAGGAAGTTTTCGTAACGTGACCTCGTCCTATCTAGTTGCGCCGACCTTAACAAACAGGAAGCCCTTTAAGAGCGGCCGGACGTATTACGATCGAGAGGCTCGCGAGAAAAGTATGTAGGGGATGACGATAAATCCCTAATATAAATAATAGATAAAATTTGCTTTCTCGCATGATAATACCCGCGGTCATCGTCGTCGTCGCGCGCACGAGCGCGAGGTGCGCGTATAAGGTATGACATATAGTAGACAAGGGTCTTGATGATGACGGACGACGAATAACGAGCCACTTCCGGGAATCATAGCGTTCACCGAATGCGTTCTCATCGTCACAACCTTGTCCTATTTTATTATTTAATTCATGGTGTCCTGTGCACTGCGGTGTCGTAATAAATATAGGTACTTCCCATATCGCATATGTCTCGCGACGACGACAACGTTTGATGAAAAGATCCCGTCTTTTTTATTTAATTAGGAATCTTAAAGTCGTGCAAAACGATTGTTGTATCAAAAGCTAAATTTCAAATTAAATTTCAAACGAATTAATAATTTGATTATACATATATAGAGAACGCGCGCGCGCGCGCGCGATATGATGGACAGGTCTATTTATCTTGTTTCAGAGATTTTTTTTCCACGTAACTTCAAAGAAGCAAAGAACTCCATTGCCGAAGGAATGATCGATGTGTTTGCTTTGCGCGGAAATCGCAAACGATACATACGCAGTTATCACGATCCAAAATATGCGGTCTTCCAGCGTCGTCAAAGTCCTTGCACCGATCCTTATCTCGGCATCCTGCTAAAAGTATTCTGCTTCTTTCACGTGCGAGATCACTTCCGAGATCTTCAGTATAGAATGCGGAACTTCTGAGAGGGGAGTGAAAAGTTACCCCCCTTTTTTTAACCGAACGCTCAACCGAGCACAACTTTGAGGAAGGGCTCGCGCGCACGGATGCCGAGATTTCTGCCGTACCCCGTCGCGATCTACCCCACAATGATGCTCGGTCCCCCTCGAGCATGAACGCACCTATCTTTCCATTCAACAAATTAATGCCACAGTGTCACTCTATATTTAGGCTGCTCGTACGACACGAAGAGATCGGTCATACGCGCGCGAATTGCGGCAACCAAATGCGGTACGATATTTTCCATTTTTCCTTTTCGTTATCATGTAACTTTTTCGATATGATAATAATTCATTATTACATTGCAAGATACTTTGAAGAAGGAGACCGAATACATACGAGAACTATAATTAAGTCCCGAAACAATAAATCTTCTCTAAAGAATTTTTGATGCAAAATATTTGCATATACATATATATATAGGGAAAGCCCCCTATTATGAGATCGGCGCTTAACATGAGATAGCGGTGTTTCTGCTAAACTAATAAATGCTATCTGTTGATTCTATCATGAAATTATTGCTCTTGGATTGAAAACTATTTAGTGGAAAATTCATTGTTAGATCATGCCTACAGAAATTGTAAAATAAAATTTTAGAGTTTGAATGTTTTCAAGTTTCATTGAGATAAACCTTTAATTTTTGTTTATTATTTAATAAGTAATTATTTGGCAATAAATTCTTCATGTAGTAATAGAGTAAGATCGTACTGATAGAAAAATACGAAATATGTTGAATTGTTTAATTAAAGAAGTTAGATTTGATGATCGTAAAGCTGTATATAAGACGTGATACTCGTAATATGAGATACCCAGGATATTTTTAATATGAAATAATCTATACTTCTATGCCCAAGTGAAAATCGATGTTAAAGTATAAATGTTATTGTACAATAATAAAAAGAATAACCGGAATGAACATTGAGGGTCTGTTTCTGCAATACTTCATTCCACTTACTAGATACTGAAGACAAATCCTGAATACAATGCATCACATGCTCAATTTACGCGCATAGGCTGTACTCGTTGATATGTTAGAAACATCAAATAAAGTTTTTTTAATTCTAATACTGATGTACTTTGTGCTTTATTATCGATTTCTCGGGGTATCTCATACTAGGAGCACAATTTTTCGACTTTGCGATTTGTTCACCTTTTATATTTCTTTAATTAAAAAATAAAATAAAATTTGAATTAAATTTTACATAACACTATCTTAAAGCTTATTAAATTCTCTTCAAAATGACCTATCATTTTTTTTAATTCTACCAATAAACATTTAGTATCTAATTACACCAAATGAACTCGGTATCTCATAATAGGGGCCTCTCCTCTATATTTAATTTTACGAACAGGAAAAAAGTAATTAAGCGATTATCTTTTTTGAATTTACAGATATAACATTATCGAGACGAATAGCATCATAGAGAAACAGCGGTTTTGCTGAAGTGCCATAAAAATTTAGTTATATGGATATAGTTATATATAGATTTGGAAATAATTTTATTGGATTAGCAAAATAATTTAAGGGGTTATATACATTTAGAGGGCTGGAAAAAGCGATTTCTTTAGAATTTTTTTTAAACAAAATGAAACTATATACATATGTTTAAGTTTGTACATCCAATAAAGTTATATTTAAAGTATATTTCAAAATTTTTTTGTACAAAAATATTTAATAATTTAGAATCTGCGCCGGTCTACAGAGACGTATATTAAAAAAAAAATTGTTTTGCGGTGAGCAACATATCTCGGCAGGAACTCATCTGAAATCAAAAATCCAAAAAAATTTCATTAGTATATTGTATAAGCTAGTAATTAATCGTTCGGTTTTTGAAAATATTGATTAGAAACAAAATGGCGGCTCATTAAAGAAAAGTTTTCGATTTTTACCTTAAAAATTGTCCTTTTTTCATTAATAAAAAAAAAACTACGCATTTAAAATATAAACCCTTCGATTAATTACGAGATATTCATGTCCAAAGTAAATAAAAAGAAATTAGAGAGATCGATTAATTAGTTTTTGAGATATCTTGCTCACCGACTTTAAAAATGTAGTTTTGAGAAAAACGCGTTTAAAGTTAAAAACCAGAGAAAATGTATTTAAAAAAATTTGGGTCTTACTTACATAGTGTGATCTATTACAGGTCCATATAACAGCTCTTCTGCAGAGCAGCAGCTTCCAAAGTTTTAATATATCTTTGTTTGCGAGCCGTTTGTACTCACTTCCGTGTCGCGCGCGAATTACTAAGTAGGAGTTGTGTGTTGGCGATCGTCATGTAATTAGTTGCAAAATTACACGCAACTAATTTCATGACGATTTTCAACACACAACTTCTACTTAGCAATTTTTCGCGTGCGACATGGAAGTGAGCACAAACCACGAACTTTCAAACCCTAGTAGTTTCATTGTCGATATGAAAAATTTAGATTTATAATAAAGTGAATTTTTTTTTTTATTTTGTAAATATATTTATTTTACTATTTATGTATGAATTTATATTTTTGTTCCAAAAAAGCGCATTAGGCCGCACTATATAATCGAGTGTGCGCACAGTGAGACCATGCAACGAAACGCTGTCGGACGCAAGTACACAACAGCCTGTATGAGCCCCAACACACACTTTTGCATAACGCATAAAGCATGTGCATAAGGAATTTCATTGGCCCATTTTCTTATGCATGAGTCAATGGACCAATCAAATTCTTTATGTATATGGTTTATGCGTTATGCAAAAGTCTGTGTTCTCCGCTTTACTCTGGAAATATTTGTCGGATCTATTTAAAACTTTCAGGAAATATTCTTCTAAATACCTACTTTTAGAAAATATCATTTTTGAAAAATCGATTTTTTGAAAATTCTAAACGTATATAACTCCTTAATATCAAAATAAATTATACAAGACACTTAAATTGATTGTTGGAATGTTAAAACTGCAATATTGCATCATCATGATTCTTTCGTAATTGTTTTAATAGTCTAACAAAATTATTTTCGAGTCTGTACCTATCTAAATTTCTAAATAGAGGTACTTCAATAAAATCATTCTTCTCATATATTTATACAGGATGTTTCAAAAATAGTTGGCCAAACTTTAAGAGCATATTACACTCATTGTAAGAATGAAAAGAAGCCATATAAATATAGGTTTGGAATTTTCTATCCAAGTTATAAACATGTTTTATTTAATTTTATATATTTTCATTTCAGAAATTGCCGGAAATTATTTTCTTTCGTATCGATGCATGTTTGGCATCAAAGTCGTATAGATTGTCGAAGACGTTCAAAAATTCTCGGAATGTTTCGTATTTTTTTATACGCAATGATAATACAATTTCGAAGTACTCCTACAGTAACAACAGGAGTCTCATATACATTTTAAGATGTATTATCTATAACGTATTGTATACGTTTAAAGAGAATTTTAAGAGATGTCCCTATATAAATAAAAATCCAAAGGATTCAAATCAGGAGAACCCAAGGTGTAGGCCAAGTAAAAGCGATGAGTCCTGCTTTACCAATTCATGAAACGTCGATGCAAGGCATATCGTCCGACATAATAATATGTACAATGTAAATAAGAAGTATTTATAACTAGGAAAAAGGAATTAGCGTTTCCAAACCTATGTTTGGAGTAACTCATGTATTTAAACTTCTCTCTCTTTCTCTCTCTCTCTCTCTCTCTCTCTAAACGTGAATAATATTTCATGTTTACATCTATACTCTCATGATACTTATAAAAAGATATATAATTTAATTTGAAATTGCTAATTAATTCTATATCATTTTTTTCTAGTTACCGTTTTTATTTAACTATTAATTTCACTTTTTATATCTTTAAACGGTTTTCGAAATAAGAAATGTATTTAAAAAATTTATTAAAAATTGTATTTAAAATATTATTTTAGTGATATATAATCTTATAAATTCATACATATAAGTGTTATGATAATGTGAAAGCGCTGGAATTGTTATACGCGTATTGCAATTATTTGTCGTTTGTATTTATCAGATAAGTGCGCCTTTTGTTTTCGTTGAATTTGCTCACAAATTCTTATATTTTAGTTTAAAATATAATATAATTATATATTTTTTTAAATGACTTGAATGTTGATATACATATATACTTATTATATTAGTAAATTCTGACAAATATATTATACTTTCTCTATTAGAGACAATATATATTTTATGAATTTTTACATAGCTTCTATAATATTATTAGTACATAATAATTTATATTGTGCATAAAAAAAATTGAAACAATACATTAAGTATAATGTTCGCTTATTTAATTGTTATCTGATTTGATATATTAATTAAAATAAAATTAGAATCATTTTTTCTGAAGCATTTAAAATAATTGACAGGAAGATCATACGTACTTTTTGTCGTCTTCAAAAAATAATTAAAAATATATTTTCACTTGTCGCAGTATATTTTCATTAAAAAAAAATTAATGTGTAGCTATATATTTACTTTTATAATAATAAGTATAATTTTAAATTCTGATAAAATAAATCAAATACATAAAAAAAGCCATTTTTTCTCTGATACAGTTTTATTGTCATAATGTTTGAATTCCTCTCGTTCTTTGTATTTTTGTTTTTAATTTTCACATATATTTTTTGCTTCTATTGGAGATAGAAAACCTATAAAAAACAGTAATTGTATTATAAATGTTATAATATAAGTTTACACAAAACATTTCTTTATCATAAATACAAACTGTCTGATTCCGATGAAAGAATAATTCAATATCCATTATAGTTTGATCCAACAGTTCATCCATGTTCCAGTATATTTTTGTTTTTCTGCCTATTTCTGCCTGTCACATCAATACACACTGCGCCTGTGCGTAACCTAACTTAACCCTAATCAGAAATATTTGAGCATCTTGTGGTCTGATGGCACCGGCATGTCTGGGCACATCCCTCGATACTGTTACCAACGTTCATGCAATTGTTCGATAATAGATTCCGGACTATACAGATTTCAATAATTACAAGAGTTGTTAAGTTTCTCCTACATTGACCCACATTTTCGAGATGATGGAAAACGAAAGTTGTGCCGACAAGAACGAAGAAGAGAAAGGGCCGACACGGTGTTTCGTCTGCGACGCAGATGTCAAGGGTCGCTTTTATGCTTTGGCCACTTGCAGAACGCAGAACTCGCGGACCAGGGTAATCGAGAAACTCGGAGAATTAGTCGGCGAGGGGTGATAAATCCACGTTAATTAAGCGTCCTGCGTCTCGTACCGATAAGAAATTAAATAACGATTTCTTTTTACAGGTACATGGTCGTAATAACCGAGGACGACGTGATCTGCCGCAGTTGCGGTATCCTCGTTAATACTCTAGACAGATTGGAGATCGAAATGCGTAAAGCGCGGAATCATATTCTGCGTTTCTTAGAACAAAAGTATTCTCTGAACGAAGGAGAGCTACGCAGTAGTGACAAACCAAAGCCATGTCAACCGCCGCAGATAACGAGATCTGGGGCGAAAGACATTGCCTGTAACACCAAAGCGAACGAGACTGACTCACATTCAGAAAATACGAAATTATCGAAATCTCATTCTTGGCTGCAATGCGATAAGTGTAAATATACTACACGTCTTGATTCATTCATGGTGTATCACTTGCAAAATCATATCAAAGAAGCCATATTTTGTGATAACTGTGGGAACACGCTCGAGATTACAAAACATAATTGTAGCAAGGCAAATGACTTAGGAAACAAGAAGAATGAGACAGGTTGAGTATTACAGAATTTTAAAAAATGATACATCTCTCTCTCATTCCAGTATTATTAGTTACTTTTTATTTATTTAAAAATTCAAATAGTTCTCCCATTTATCACGTTATAATTCACTTGACTGCACATATTCCTTTTCACATTATAGATATAACAAAATTTTTACCTACATCTGCATAAACTTACCACATATTTTACTAGTCTTATTAACTTACGTTAAAAAGTAAGGTTTAATAAACCTGTGTTATGCAATATTTTGTCATCAAAGGAAGCAAGTAGTAATGTTATTATCTGAGTATAAGAGATATTAGCATAATTTTAAATTTAATGTTACTTGTGTAAAAGTAGTAAGCAATTATTCTGAATTTTCTATAATTATTAACATTACTGATATGTTATAGATGATTCTGACATTGTTACCAAGAATGAAGCGATACAGACACTTTTGAAGCAAACTCAAATTTTGCCTTTTACTCAAACTACACCACCTCCACTAATAGGTTTTTCAAATTGTAATTTCCTATATGGCATTCCTAAGTTATCAATGAGTATGCACAATAATTAATACATTATTACATGTAAATGTATATTAAAAAAAGAAATGTTTGTTATAAAAGGTGATCCCACATCCTCCCAGGAACAAATGTATGTCCTCCAATCGATCGACATTACTAATACTGACAACTCAAAGAAGTTGGATTCAAACCTCATAGAAAAAACGCAAGTTACGCCAGAAAAGGATACAAAGCATGTGTTGACTGTGAAAGATGATGGAAGTTTGTTAATGGTAGAAGTGCCAATATCCTATATACCAAAAACGCCAAGTATCAATTCATTAACGTTCAAGTAACTGAAGATTACGTAAAGTTGCAACGAATATTAGGTAACTTTGGTTTTGGCTACTTGACAATATTTTTACTTAAGTCTTAAATATTCGGCCTAATATCAAATATTTTTACTTAAGTCTTAAATATTCGGCCTAATATCAAATTATTTTAATTATAAGAAAAGAATTTTATTTTATTTTGAAAAAATACTCTTCACAAAAAGCAATAAAAATAATTTTGCTAAAAATGAGTACTTTCTACGTCGCGTGATCTATAAAAGTGTCATCTCCGATTTTCATCATCAGCTCTTACCTCTTAAAAGATTATTGAGCATATAATAAAAAATAAGTGTACCTCATTTTCGTCTACAAAATAATATAATAAAACTCGTTAAATTTGGAGATGAACATTTCCTTGTCTATATACGTAGTAGACCTTTCTTAAATAATGTGTTCCTTTATAAGTTATACCATATAGCTGTCCTGGATACTTTTAGCTTGAAGTTGAAATATGTCATGTCTATTATCACTTCATTACTATTTTGTCTTAGCTCTTACTCACTCTAATGAGTTGGAGTAAGAACTACGGTAGAAGTATGTTGGAACATACAATGCGAAAAAACCTTGAATTATTTTAATTGTAAGTCGGAATGTTGAGCAACCACTGTTTTTATTAATATCATGCGTAGTTGAATATTCATTTATTTGACATACGATTTTGCCGAATATTCGTTGCATCTTTGATTTAAAGGGATTTAATGTTTTTATATTTAGTTATTGTTATGTGTGTACCTGTCAAAACAAAACAAAGTGTAATATATATAATAATTTATAATTATAATGTTATACTCATACATATAAAAAAATCAATATAATTACAAAAAACTATTAATTTACAATAATCTGTACATCTATTAGATATGTACAATTTATTTTATTATATTTAAAATAATTCATTATGTACTAAATGTCCTCATATTTTTATCTTCAAAATAAAATTAAACGATAAATACAAAGTTATAAAATAGATGTAAAATTAAAAAAAGATCTTAATAATTTTTACTTTTTCAATATTAAAATTTTCTTACAGCAAGTTATGTGTTTTTGTATCTGTTTTGATAAAAAAATCTTAGTATTTCTTTGCAAGGAATTTATTCCTTAAGTTGCAATTAATTGTGCTCTTTCTAATCAATTTGTTTTTGTTTTTTTAATGTTTGAGACTTATTGTACATATTTATATAGATACTAGTCTTAAAACTTAAAAATTTTAATTTTTGTTACATTATTTTTATAAAGAATAATCATATATGTGAATGTGAATAAACAAAAAAGATGTTATGACGCTTGTGACTCAGTAATTATTGACTTCAATAAGTTTATTTCGATAAATATAGATTTAATTTATGTTTTTTGCTCCCAATTCTTGTATCCATTTTTTACCAATATGGTATATTGATTAATTTTAATTTCAGCATAAAGTATAACTCATTTATTATTTTTCTCTGCTTCTGAAATTAGAAAAAAACAAAAAGTAATTAAAAGTTAATTGAAGTTATTCTACATAGAAGTTATGTTAAACGAATTCGCGGTATCTTTTTAAACGTAAGAGAAACTATTTTTAGCGCCACTTGATCCGAAAAATTAAAAACTAAAGTCTCTCTCGCGTGTAGTTGATAAAAGTACTCGCCAGTTTACCGACTTGCAATTCTAGCAATGTTCGTGACGCGACGTTGGCATCACTGCTATTAATATTTTGAATTGAACGCGTCCTAACGCAACAGTGGTTATATGATGACTAGTGTTATAAATTACAATCGTCAACTTTAACGTTTAATATCTCGGTTCGCGGGGCAGAGCAACGCTTATTTCTGCCAAATTCTTTTGTTTTATGAAAAAACGCGTCGAATGTGTATAATTTAATCGATTTTTGAGAGGATTGCCTTCCATTGCATCTTTACCCATATTAGTAAGCAACTGTAAGCAACCGTCTCATCGCAGAGCCATACAGTTCTGACGCTGATAGCTCCTCTAGATCACGCCTATTTCCTAGTAAATTTCTTATGTTATGATAGGCGATTTTTGGCATGCAACCAAAAGCAACCGTGGTTGGAGTATCTTTGTCTTTTGATCCCTGAAAACGAAGATAGCCTTAGTCGCGGTTACTTTTGGTTTCTATACCAAAAGCACACCAAAAATCGCTTATTAAAGCATACAGTTTAAGTAGTTATTTACTCGAACTTGGTCACTAGTGCAATGGATATCCTTCAGTACAATGTACTTGACATCTTCCAAAATGATGACCACAATATTAAGGATAAATGGATATCGTCGTGTCGGGAGTTTCGACTACGTGTTGACAACAAGATCGAACAGAGGCATCTCTATGAAAAGGGTACAGTCCCTCGTGTGTGCTTTTGTAATTGCAAACTATCGAAGACTATTGACAAAATAGTCGAGCTACTCACATAGCAAGAAACTACTCTCGTGAAAAATAATTTACAAGTACAAGACCCGATTCCATCAATGTAAAATTAAACTTTAATCTTGGTTTAATTTACTCTTTACCTTCTAATTCTAAGAATTCTAAAAATTAGAAAAGAATGATAGGTTAAACCAAGATTAAAATTAATCTTACATTGATGGAATTAGACTAAGAAGAGCAATCTTTTATCTTTGTTTTACAGAATGCAGTAAAATAAAATCTGTTTATACGAATAACTTATCAGAGTTGCAACAGGAATTTAACACAACAAAATCTGATGTAGATTCTGTCATATTGGAGCAGAAAATAACTGATAAAAAGATATTAAATGTAATAAAGTCGCAGGAGGATCTGAAGGATGAACTGAAAAAGGCAAAGGCACGAAAGGAAGACTTGGTACTGGAAATGGTGGACCTACAACACGGTAAATACATTGTTTTAATTGAATCCAAGAGTTTAGTATTGCATTATTCATTTTCAATTAAATTCATTCTTATTTTATTTTAATGTTTACAGAAGTAGAAGAAAGGAAGAAAAAGAAAGCCTTACAATGGAATGCCATTAAACGTGCATGTAACATTTACAAAGTACATTTGGATATACAAATAAGTTTTCAAGAGGATAAGGATTGTCAGTTCATAAACATATTCTTTTTCACAAACAATGAAGCAACAAAGAATAAATACTTTATTCAATTATCATACAGTGATAACCACTGGACAAGTATGTAACATTCCAAATTATTTGGAATATAATTAATATAAGAAATATAATTAGTTAATGCTATTGAGATAATTATTTGTGTTAATCATTGTTTTAGTCCTTCAAGTGGAACCAAGAATAAAGAAAGAGCACTTCAATGAGCTAAGTGTTATAAAGGTTTCTTCTGAATGTCTCAAAGTCTCAGACATCACTTTGTTTTTATGTCAAATACGAAGTATATTTCTAAAGCATTACATGAAAACGTAGAAAAAAAAATTATTAAACATATAATGATATGTACATAATTAAATAAAACCGTGCCGACGTTTAGATAGTGTTATATATTACATATCTTATATAATACATATACAATTTATTTTAGGTATTTTAATCTTTATTAATAAAAACTATTTTCGTAACAAGGAGTAGAACATGTTATTTCTTATCTTAAAAAATATGTCTATTTTACAAACTAATTTATAATTAACTTGTAAATTTTACAAACTAATTTATAATTAACTTTTATAATTAATGATGCGTTACATGTTTAATGGGAATTAGTGGTCGTTGTTTTCGAAACCGTATTCAAAATTAGAAAATTTGAAATGGTCGGTTGGAATTATCATTGATATCCTAAAAGTTTTTAGTTTTTAGCGAAATTTCGTATGATGGGAAATTAGAGGTCGTTGTTTTTGTAACCGGATTCAAATTATGAAAATTCACAATGACTGAATCAATATGTTGGATGGAATTCCTAAAGGTTTTCCGATTTCGGCGAAATTACGTATAAAAGGTAATTTGTGGTTGCTTATTTCGAAACTGCATTCAAAATTTGAATAATAATTTTACTAATCATTATTCTCTATTATTTGTATTTATAGTGTTTTTTTTTAGATTTGAATAATTTTTATTAGAAAATTTATAATAAATTATTGAATTAAAAAAATGTTTATAGTATTATAATTAACATTTAAAAAAACTATTTGAAAATTTAAAACAGCTGAACAAATATAGCAAACGAAAATGTTTTGGAAAACCAAAAGGATTTACAATAACGGCGAAATTTCGAGTAAAGGGGAATATGTGGTCATAGATAGTAAACCTTTAGGATTACAAAAGATTAACGTAAAACAAAAGATAGATTAAGATGTTACTAATCTTAAATCCGGTTTCTAAATATTGTTTATCAAAATGGTAGAATCAATGGTGGCGATCGAAAACAATAAAATCCTAAAGGTTTTCAAATTTCAGGAAAATTTAGTATTAGTAGGAATTAGGAGTTGATTTCAAAACAAATTTCAAAGAAACATAATTCATAATATTTAAAAAGAGTATAACGGACCATCGCGCGCGTAGCGCGCAAGGAATGTGCTAGTATTAATAAAGATTAAGATACCTAAAATAAATTGTATATGTATTATATAAGATATGTAATATATGACACTATCTAAACGTCGGCATGGTTTTATTTAATTATGTATATATCATTATATGTTTAATTGTGTATATATCATTATTACAGCTGTATTTTTTATTTTATCATAAAAGTGATAAAAGAGCAAATTGCAAATCATAGTGCGGATAAATAATAACTTATATAAACAGGTCTCTCTGCTTTGTCTTTTTATAAGTATATATATGTACATATACTTATATATGTACATATGTATATCTATATAAATGGTACACATGTATAACATTGCGTCGTTCTCGCAGACATCGCGATAAATTCACTTATAAGTAAATCAGAATGACATTTGGACCGCATGATCATCTTTAATAATATTTCATATACTTGTGTACTTATTAGATAGGCGTTACATTTGTTCGTTGTAATACTTAATCGTTTCTTTCACGATTTTCGCGATGCCTCTCCACGACGTAAAGTTATTCTTCATTAAAATACTTAATAAAGATAAATTATTTTGATTCTGAGTTCTAGCTAAAATTAAGCTAGCAGTCGTGCTATTGGCTGCCTTCTGCAATGTGTACATATATTTATATAGTATGTGAAAAATCAAGATACTATAATCACGTCCGTTAAAAATGTATGATTGATGCCTGTTTCCAGGGAATGGAAAGCTACTTTTTAAAAGTAACTTATAGTTACAGTTACTCGTTACCGAGTAAAAAAAAGTAACTCGTTACAGTTACCGTTACTCGAAAAATAACTTTTCGTTACTTTTCCGTTACTTTTTTAAAATCAATCTAAAAATGTACTTTTGCAGTGTTTTTTGTTTAAATGTTATAATAATAAAAGCAATATATATAACCAGGTTGTTAACGTTACTGTTTTTATGTAACGCATTACAGTTACTGTTACTCAGGAATGGGAAGTAACTCGTTACTTGTAACGAAGTTACTTTTTTTCAATAACTGTAACTTAACTTCGTTACTTTTTTCCATCTGTAACTATAACTTAACTTAGTTACATTTTTTTAGTAACTAGTAACTAATTTAATAGTTACTTTTATATAGTTACTTTATATATATTCAAATTCTTATTTATCAATTTAGTGTGCGATAGTGTCCATTTGGTGCTACAAATGCTTCGAAACATTTGATTAATCAGAAGAAAGAAATTTAATTAAAGCGTTCAACGAACTTGTATCTGTTTGATACATATTTTTGATTACATATTAATATTTTGGATTAGTGCTGGAATTTGGAATCTAGAATTTGTTTGCAACTTTTAGCTGAATATAAAAAGAATATTGTTTGCAAGAAAACATTGTATATGTGCTATTTCATATTCATTTATATATTACTTTAACGAAAAACGTTTTTGCCACACAATTTTCTTCTTCAATACAATTTTTATAACATGTAAATGTAAAGCAGTCTTTTTTTTAATTGTCCTAATTACTCTGATGACCCTGTGTATCATTCTTGTTTAATATTATGTGAAAAACAAGGGTAAAACGATACACGAAGGCAGTTGGTAACGTTTCTGAATGCAGCCCTAGTATCGATGCTACTAGTGAAAATTCTGATGAAAAAGTAATTTAAAAGTAACTTAAAGTTGTTTCTTCTGTAACTGTAACGAATTGCTTTTCAGAGTCAATAACTTGTAACGGTAATCAATTACTTTTTGAAAGAAAAAACTGTAACTGTAATTAATTACTTTTACAAAGTAACTTTTCCATCCCTGCTGTTACTTGCGATAAAAAGTAATACGTTACTCGTTACCCATTGTAAAAAGAAATGTCTTATCATTACTCAAAAGTAACGGGAAAAACGTTACTTTTACCATTACTTTTCAAAAAATGATAATATTTATGTTAAATATAGCTACATAAGAATAAATTGTTTTTTAATTTTATAGCTTTATTATTTTATATTTTATTAACTATTTAATTATTTTATAATAAATTATTGTATAATTATTCTTATATTATATAAATTATATAGTATAATTATTGTATTACTATCTGAAGGCTGTGTTCGGGCAGTCTAGGGCAGTGCGCTATCAGCGCCATTTGTGTAGTATTTTCCTTGTCTCACGTCTAATAAACGATGAAGATAGAATAACACAAATAATAGCGCTAATAGCGCCTCCCCGAATCCAGTCGAAAAAGAAGTTTTATAGCTTTGAAGTAAAATGTCGGAATCAACGGAATAACGAGAAAAGTAACGTAAAATTCTGTAAGTCATTATTGAAAATTGTAACTTAGTTACCGTTACTGTTACTCGTTAGAAAAAGTAAATACGTTACTCATTCGTTACTGAAAAAAGTAACGAAACCAGTAACTTCGTTACTTTTTTAAGTAACGTTAACAACCCTGTATATAACATATATAGCATATATAACACTGACACTATGTATAGGAATTTTTTTATACTTTACAGAAAACTAGAAGATTATATATAGGATTGTATAGAACTATCTGAATCACAATATAAGTTAGAAATTAAAAAGAAAATTAAGAAATACACATAATCTCTTTATTATAATACAGCTATATTTTTATTTAATCTATACTTTTAGCTGTAAATGAAATATTTTGATAGAAAGAAAATTATCCAAGAAAATTGAAAAATGCCGATCGATTACACTGGTTGTTCGTGTGATTGAAATAAAGCTTTGTATCTTGATAAGAGTTATCAAGAGTCAGTATATTGACTCGATCGGCATTTTTCAATTTTCTTGGATTTATTCAACGAGTCTATTGTATTAAGTTATATTTTTATAAAGAAAATTATATCACTATAATTAAAACACAGAAATGTACAGAGTAAAGCTTTGTACACAGCTCAATTAGAACAAAATATGTACGATGTTTAGATTAAGGTAAACTAAATGTAGCTTTTACTCTTGTATTAAATAAAAACACTCAATGTTCTACAACCACATTTATAGCTGTCGTAATTAATAACATGTAATTGTTATATAACAGAATAACGTACCCAATCGAAATGCAAAGTAACGATAAAAGTAACTGTAAATTTGGTTACCGTTATCCAAAAAATGTAACTCGTTACCGTTACAGTTACCAAAAAAAAAAGTAACGCAGTTACCATAGTAAAGTTACCAAAAAAGTAACTTGTAACTATAACTTCGTTACAAGTAACGAGTTACTTCCATTCCCTGTTTCTACTCTAATGTTGATTAACTGTAATCTCAATTCAACTTACTCTTCATGCTTTTATAATTCTTAGACCTAGAAAAAGATGAAGAATTAGTTAAATCCAAATTAAATTATGATAGAAAAAAATGGACATTATAAATTTAATGATCTCGAGTCAAAATGGCGCCATTTGCATGGTAATTTTTTAAAAACCTTGTAAATTTCTTTTATTTAGATTTAGTGAAAATCTTTGATTTACAATTAATGCATTTGATGTCACAATATTGATTAAGGGAAGAATGCTTCGTGTGGTGTTTCTTATCACGAAATCTTTCGGAAGAACGGACGTTTACACTATATTTACCGTAATATTATTTACGCGCGCATGGAATAACCGAACACCGTGCGCGAATGACATCGTGCACGGGCTGATCTCATTATGTATGCGTAGAGGCACGCTGATAACAATTCGTCCCTATTGGCACGAGTTAACGAAGAAGTCAATTGATCGCCCACTGCCAATCTGCTCGTGCCAATGGTATAAAGTTAACAGATTTCATTTGCTCCATTGACCCGTCGGGAATTCATTTGCATATACATGACCATCGAAAAACTTAAGTGAAGACCGAAGTCTTCCGCGAGTTATCACGTTATAGAATGTTGCTGTTTTCCTTCATTCATATCGTCGCTCTGTGATATGTCGGAAATTTATCAGAAAGCGATGTGATTAACGTGTTTCCGCTGTGGCTTCGAAACACTCTATGTGCCTTTCCATCCAAAATATAACGATATTCAATATATATTTTTTATTGCTTTATTATATTGCAGACACAATTGCATCTGTCAAGAACGCCGTATATGTTTAAACGAAAAAAAGCGAATTGATACCAAGTGAATATAAAAATAAATCGCCAATCGATGCGATATCAAATTTCGCAGACACGTTGTCGGCCATTCTCTATTTTGTGCGCTCAACAAAGAAGAAAATTTCATAAAATTTTCCTCAAGACTTATTTCTACATAAACGCGGAATTTTTCGCCAGTAAATACTATTTACAATACAAGGGCATGTAAGAACCTTATTTATTACTGAACGGAAAAATGAATATAATAATTTATTAGTATGGAGTACAATTCCAAGAAACATTCGTTTCTTCTTGACAACATACGGAATCTGGATCTTGAATTTTTCTCAAATTATTTCAAGATTTCAATATCAAATAAACGAGTAGTCCTCGTTCGAATGTCCAACGGGATATTTTTGGATGCACAAGATTCTCCTAAGTATACGTATCGAAGCTGTCCTGGTCCGTCTCGGGACTTGCTACGACTAAAGAAGATACTCCTCTCGGCGACTTACGAGATCGCCGAACGCGCAAAACCGCTTCTCTATCTATGTGTAGAGACAAACGCACAGACACACTGCCATCTTCGAAATCACTGGGAACGAAATCTTCCAAGAACGCTCGGAAATATCGGCATGCACATTTCACGATATACATGCACGTCGTCTTCTAACAATCGCTCCGCTCATACTTTGGTGATCTACCTCGCGCTTTTCTTGCCGTCTTGTCTCAATGAAGACAAGTTCTTGCGCGAATTTCTCAGATCTCTTTCTTTTCATCGTCTTCACCCTGTTTGACGTGGTGCTCGCGCAATTATTCTCATAGGGCCAGCACGCACCGCGGCGACGCTGGAACTTTTACTCGAGGGTGGCAGCGAAAGACACGTTGCTCCCGGATGCAGCCGCCGCAGCAGCCAACAGAAACGTCGGCGGTAACAGTGCTGGTGGTAGCGCCGACGTTAATTCGGCAGTCGTCGTTAATGGCACGGACGGTGTCGTCGTAGTGGGACAATCGCTGCCGACCCCGTAAACCTTGGCGTGATTTACCTCAAGCGCGACGGTCAAGTCGACCAGACCGGCATCGCACAGCACGGGATTATCTGCAAACAATAAAGCGTGCGTGTGAGTGTAAGGGCTTACTGTTTTTGATACACGATGAAGTGGAACAACAATAAGATATGAGAAATACATATATGTAGCTTGCTCGTCATAGGCCATTTGATTTTTTTGTTTTCCTGGTATCTTATGCTTTTATACAATATATTTTACTATATCTCAACCCTAAATTCAAGAGTCACATTATTTTGATCGTAAATTATCGTAAAAAAAAATTATCGTAAAAACACGCGTGATTAATGACGACGTGGCGCCAGCTGTGATAATAAAGATGGCCTAGCTGTAATATTAATCTTTAACCTAGTATGTAATTGTCCAAACTCGCAGGCTTTCCTAAACTTGTCATTACAATTCTCGTCGCAAGTCCTATGAGTTTCCTGGGTGCGAAATCGTGAGCGAAGTAGAGAAAGAAAGTGTCAAATAGAAGTTGAGACCAGTCAGGAGATAACAGGATTGGGTACGATAACGTGACTGCAAAGAGACAGAGTCGATATATTAACAATAACAAAAGCTCAACAGGCAGACACCAGAATATAATAAATAAATCGAGATGGCGCCGCAGCGGGGGTTATCGCGAGAAATGTAACCGTTGTAACAAATAATGTACGCCTCGGGAGCCGAACGGAGCCAGGCGATTATCAGCCAGTAATTTATTTTCCGTCCCCTTCGCGCCCGACTGCTCTCTTCTCCAGTCCCTTCTCTCACTCTTTCTCCCCTTGCTCGCCTTCCCACCGTTTGTTTGTCCACGCTGGACCTTACAAGCGGTGTATATTAATTATGCGATGCCGCTGGCGCCACTCATCGTACTATCTTCTATTAATATCTAATTGAATTTAATCGTTCATCAATCATTGCCAAATAATATTGAACAGTCAGCCCCTAATCGAAAAAGAAGCGTAATATTAGCGGGGAAAAAGCATGAGGGAAGCAGTACTAAACCGTGTGCAGTTTCATAAAATTATAATGAACATTTTTAGATATTTATTTTAGTATAGTGTAAAATTTATAACTTATTAAATTGAAATTCGCTTGTGAGATATCAGAATCCTCTACAATACGAACAGTAGTTGTCTCACCGAGCGCAGATTCCTATGGGAATCAGAGTCTCGTTTACGACTGTTAACTCGATTACCGTTCGTCTGTGACAAATCTTACGTACTGGCCGGATAATAAATTATACATTGCGCATATCGACTCTTTTTCTCACCAATGCGGCTATGTGATACCAAAATTAAATTCACATGTCTTGTCACCTTTAGTTAAGAGTTATTTTATCGAGCAGTATTATAGATATATCCGGGATATTTAAAAAAAAATAAGAGAATCACTTTTTCTCGCTGTTGCCCTTTTTCTATTTGTTTTTCAGATTAGAAGAGATGTACGATAAAAGAATCTTAAATATACAATACAAATTCTAATATTTGCTATTATATAATGTTATTATAAACAATCTGTTGTGTGCATGAATAGAAATACGTGCGGTAGCGTTAAATATGATACTAAAAGGCTGCGAAGAGGGACGCCTTGAAAGAAAGAAAGAGACAGAGTGTATCTAATATAAACTCACCTTGAAGGTATATACGTAGCACGTCGGGGACTCCGTGAATCGTGCATCGTGTATTAGCCACCAGCTCCGGCATAAGAGTACGTATTTGATTCATGCTAACATCGGCCCAACAGAGCGCCGGGAAACCGCGAAAATCTCGACCGGACAGCGTAACCAGGCGATTGTGCGACGCATTCAGTTCCTCCAGTGACGGTAGCCACGTCTAAATAACGATCGTACAATTGGTACACGATTATATCACACATTGAACAAAAAAAAAAGAAAGCAAAAAGAAAATTTGAGCGGACTTTTATATTTACCTCCGACGTATCCTCGAGGGTAGTGAGTTGATTGTGCGAGATATCGAGCACGCGTAACCCATCGAGACCGCGCAAATCGCGCGGTCCGATCGTGGGGCCCAGTGCGTTATGGCTAAGATTGAGCCTCTGCAACTCTTTCATGCCTAGGAACAGAGAGCCGTCTAGACTACGTAGCTCATTATGTTGAAGGCGTAGATCTTGGATAGTGCTGCCTGCAATCTCCTCACCCTCCTCTTCCACCAAATTCTGTGGACATCAAGGATAGATTGCGACCGATCGTCGGATCAGAGAACGTAAACAGTTTCGATGATGACGTTCGCTGATACGTAAAGTATCGAATGACGTAGATACCTACCTCGGAAGATGGCCTTCCTCTGTGGAGTCTGGCGATCCGGTTGTTCGACAGATCGAGCAGCTTAAGTTCACGTAGACCACGCAAGGAAGCTAGAGAAAATTCACGAAGCTCGTTGTGCGTCAAATTCAGGCACTTTAATGATCTAAGAGGATAAAGAGCGCTACTTCCATTTCCATCACCGTCCGCGCTGCCAAGAGACTTGAGAGAGTTGTGCCCGAGCTCGAGGTCTTCCAACATTTCGGCTTCTAAGAAATCGTCCGTGTTGAGCTAAAGAGACATAATTTAGAGAGATGTCTGTTGAAATTCTATTCATAATATAATATGTACGTAAACTGCGCAATCTAATTAACGTCATTCGAGTCGACGTGTCATGTAATTTGAACGAGAAAGTCGCGACGTGAAACACGTCCGTCTGTTTCGTTTGAGTGCCGACTTGAGATCCTTCCGCCAGGCGGAAGGCGGTAATAATTACGTTACGTCGCGGTAATTGGCTCAATATACGGTGCGCTTTTGCCTCCTCCGACTCCCTTGTCATATCGCACGCGTTAAAGCGTAATATTCGAGCACGTGCGCTCCGAATGCACTCGCCTGACGATGCAATTTCGTAGATTTACTCTCTCACTTTTAAATTCGTCGAAATTCCCCTCTCTCTATCGAAGAGAGAAGATTGGGATACCTAGAAACATATACCTTTAGAACACACTAATTATTTTTTTAATAATAAAATTTATATTAGCTATTCTTACATTACTTTTTAACTGAAGTAATATAACTGAGCAGCCAACATTAAAAATCTAATTATCGTTAAAAAAAATAATTAGTGTGTCCTAAGATATCACAATCTTCACTATCTTCGATAGAAAGAAGAATTTCGAAGAATCTAAAAATAAAAGAGTATTCCAAAGTACACACAATGTCTTTAGGTCTACCACAATTTCCCCTGCACTCGTGTTTATTCAATATATGTATTATAAAAAAAAACTTTCTGTGATTTAAAAAATTTTATTTTCGCGGATGAACAAATAAACATGGTACATGCTAACTTTCGTGAAATCAAGTATACGATCGGAGTCAGAGCTTAAGAAGAATCTCGCATGACATTATAGCGAATTAAATACCTCTTGCAATTCGTTATATGAAAGTTCCAGGAACTTTAGGCGCCTGGCTTTCTGCAGAGTGCCGTCGAGATTTCGGATCTTGTTCTGTTGGAGAAAGAGAGTCTCCAGACGGTGAAGGTATCGGAACTCGGCCGGAAGATGCGTCAGCTTGTTATCCGCGGCATAAAGCATCTTGAGATTGTGGCCGGACAACGGTAGTTCGCCATCGAGTGACGTGAGCTCGTTAGAATTAATGAGCAACCACTCGAGTTGATTCAAATCTCTGCAAAGAGCAAACAAGTGGGGCACGTGGCTAAATCGCGTTGGTTAAATCTCGCTCTACGCTCTACGTACTCGCCGCCAAGCGAGAATGTAGAATCGCAGATTTTCAAGTACGATTTTAAAGGTCGATGCTGATCAATAGTCCACGCAAGGAATTTCCCTTAATCAGTGATTCGCAATGTAATGGCTCAATCATAAACATAATGAATAGATAAGAGACGTAGTGTCTAAATGATAAGTAAACAGGATGGGTAAGATGCTGCGGTAGCTTTCCGACTATGAATGCAAGTCATGGATAATTAATGGAAATTATATACTTTTTAATTTCAACGACAATGTTGCAGTTTATAATTTTTTGTAATATTTAGATTTAAATGATCCGTTCTAATTTCGTACTTCAATCAATTTACGAGAAAAGATACCTTAAAGTATGATTTAGGCTGTTCAAACGATTCCTGCCGACATGCAAATGTTTCACTAGAGGCGGCAGCGAACCCGGGGTCATCTCAGAAATCGCATTTCCGGCCATGGCCAAATGCTGAAGCGTCGGATTGTGCTGAAATAAAAAAAAAACATATTAAATCATGTTGTATGAGTTTGCTATCACTTTTCTTCTTTATACTGACTATTCAATTTTAAAATTTCTTTTTCTTTTATATCTTCTATTAATAACGCCTCTTTTAAATCTAAGATCGTCTTTCTTAAACATTTAATACTAGCTTTCGCTGTTTGATCATAACAACACTCGAGAATTTACGCACTTTTAAGATTCGCAAAATACAAGATCCTGGTAATTTATGCAAAAAATTCATAACACGTAGCTGATTGAGCGAGTGTATAAGGTCTATTCTTTTCAAGTAAACTTCTTACATGGTTCATCTTTTATGTCCTGTACACGTTGAATAAAAAAAAAAAAAGAAAAAATCAACGGATACATAAAATGTTCTTTAAAACGTTCTTCTGCTTAAAAGAACAAGTTTATGGTCTATCGTGTTAACAACCTTCTCTCTATTCTGATCCCCTTCTTTCATAGTACACACGAGTTCTAAAGCTAAAGTAATCTAATCACTTACCTTGAAGTCATCCAAATCGATACGAATTATCCGATTCCTGCTAAGGTCTAAAGTTCGTAGCAATGATAGATGCGTCAAAATGTGCCTTGGTATCGATGGTACCTCGTTGTCTGCGAGACTCAAATATTGCGTACGACCTAGACCAGCAAAAACATCGCCGTCCACGACCCTGCAAATCGTGATAGCACGCTTGTTCATGGGTCCTTGACTTCAGGGAAACGATATGCGACATACGGTAATCACGCGAGCGGCGTTTCCGCGCTCGTGATATGTTTATTTTATACATCTGATTTTTTGATTGGCACCAAAGAGCAGTAGTAGTATTTCATATTTTCCTCTGTTACAACGTTATTTATCATTTGTGTAGTAATACGTGACCGGAGCAACGAGCTGAGCCAATGAGGGCCCTGAAAAAGTGGCGACGCGCCAGACGTTATCGTTCGATTATACACTTAGTGTTGGCTCACTGCGACTCGTTATTTAATTATTCCACGACGGTAAACACACACAGCTTGCCGCGATAACTCGCGCGAAGAGGTCAGGCACGATTAAGATTTCATTCTTACGTCCCGTCCCTTCTCCCACTGTCTCGCGAGGATACTTAGCGTTCCTATAAAAAGAGACGCACAGTCCTCAAGGACCATCGTTCTTTTTTCTCAAAGCGAGATACGCGCAGCAGGATAATCAAGGAAGACTGGTAACTCGTCCTTTGTGTCGCTCGTAAAGGATGATGGCCACTGCGAGCATTATACCGAGGAAAGATGAATAATACAGAACGAGAGTCAAACATATGGATTGGAAAACTAGCAATCGTGTCGGTCGAGAGCTCCTACACCGAATTCGTCGCAATGTCGAGATGTATATTGATTTATCGCCTTTCTTCACCAATCTCCATGATAAAACCATTATGTAACGATATCCTGCTTCCGCTGTGTACTGGTCAACGTATCACGCCTGTTGTTACGTTTTGTTATAGCGCTTTACCTTCTCTCTAAAAACTGTTAGAGTGGATCTCACTTTGAAGAGTAAAAATTTCACTCTTACAAATTGAAAATTCAGCCATTCTTTTTCGTGATTCAATTTTCGCTTTTTAGAGTGAAATTTACTCCAAAGCATTTAGAGAATACTGGCTGGAACCGTACGAAAAAAGCTCATGACGAATACAGTCGAGACGAAATCTGCAGATGATTATAAATCAACTTATATGAACGGATTATTGTATTATATAAAGTGTCTGGAATGAACAATCAAGCTTGACGATTAGCTGCAACATTTTAGTGATGATCTACGTTCACGGTGGTTTTCTCAGCGTACACCCCGACAAAAGTTCAAACGTCGGTTCAAACGTGTACGCAATGGCGCCGCGGACGCCTTCGCAAATACTCATTGTGGGAATTAAGATCGCTTCTTTGTTATACATACACAAATGCTTCCATTCAATGTCCGCAATAGCAGACGATGACCTTTTGCAAAGATACTGACCGACCGTATCGACGTGTGTGGCACACTTCAGACAGAGGCTACGCGACGGAGTACGCGGGTACGGATGACAGACGTGCACCATGTTTCCAACATTTCGTTACCATTCAATTTGCCTACATTTTGCAATCACTTTTCAATCAAATAAATAATAATACAAAAGAAGGGCCACGAGCCTAATAATCTGTTTATTCCAAATTACAAAAATTTTGTAAATAATATTCACTGTAATGTTATAATCTTAACTGTTTATTATGAATTATTAAATTATTACAATAAAATAAAAGACAACATTTCCACTTCGCGTTAGATCACCTTCAATATTAAAAATAATAATTTGTGTATATTTGTTGTACAGATCGGTTAATATGTATGTACAATCTATATAACAATCGGTAATGTTGAGATCTGTGACATAAAAATCACTTTTCAAACGTTACCAGAATTTTTCAACTTTGTGTGGGATTTCGATACAGATATATTCCGCCCTTTCTGCTTCCTCTCATTATGGTATATCGTGTTATATGAATAGTTATTTCGTATTATTTCGTTAGTTTAATAAAGTCATGTAGTAAAGTTCTATGACTGATGAGAAACGGAGAATTACAACCCTTGTAATATTATTAAAATAAAGTAAAATTATAGGAGCAATTTTCCGATGTTATATTGTTGATAACGTTATACTGTGGTTTACAGTTAAATGGGATATTTTACTTTCCAATCGTTTCATCAAATTTTCTTTCAAAAAAAAAAAAAAAA